TATAATATATATATATTATATATAAATATTATATATAATATATATATATAAATATATATATATAGCTAGTTTTGCTACATGTAGTAGTATTGCTGTAGACAGTAACCGCCCAGGGAGGTACTACTGTCCTGCCAAGTGCGTGTAAAACGGAAACCAGTAATGATTTACTGATGAAGGATTGCTGGTGTTTATTTTCTGCTCATAAACATGCAAGATTTCAGGTACATCTGCTACTTCTACTCACGTATGTCACACACACAGTAACATGTACAAGCATATATATCCAATACACACCCCTCTGGGTCTTCTTCTATTTTCTTTCCTAGTTTCTTGTCTTGTTTATTTCCTCTTATCTCCATGGGGAAGTGGAACAGAATTCTTCCTCCGTAATCCTAGCGTGTTGTAATGAGTGACTAAAATGCGGGAGCAAGGCCTATAACCCCTTCTCCTGTATAAATTACTTAATTTAAAAGATAAAACTTTCGTTTGTTCTTTTTTGGGCCACCCTGCCATTGGTGGGATATGGCCCGGTTTGTTGAAAAAAAAAAAAAAGTTTGCTACCTATCCGCAGTTTTGGTATCGATGGCAGGTACTTAGAATGTATCCCCCTCAGCTACAGGGGAGTCCTTCTGTATACTATTAATCTCCTGTCAGAAAAGTTAAAATATTCTGAAGGAATTTCTCCTTACAATTTTTCAAGTGAATTAATTACTTTGTTTACAAATTTATTAGATATTCATGATGAACTGAAACCTTAAAATAGATTTGTTTACAATATTAAAATTAAAAATTGCCTTGAAATCCCTTCACTCATTAAGCCCATACTGCTATTAAATAAGACATATAAACCCATGCACTCATAAAGAAATGTGGAATATGTTTACAATTCTGCCTATGTTCACCATACACAAGAGTGCAAGAATATCTGAAAAAGGCACAGTATATCCTGATTCATCTTATGCATTTAAAAAAAATCCTCAACTGCAATAAGATTTACTAATACTGATCACTTTCAGGGCATGGGTCAAATAAAGGTTAATACATGTATTGCTTATACAGAGGGATTATTTTATATTAGTAACCAAATGGAATAAACAACAAGCAGCAGGCACTAATCAAAATGTTCTTAAAAGTTGAGCATTTTCACTGTAAAAGTCAAAAGCATAACAAATGGCTATTAAAACAACATGCAACAATGGGTTCCTTTTGTGAGTTACATTGCTGAACTGTGTGCAGTCATACAAGTACGTACATTCATCATTATCATGACCTCTTTCTGTAAAAAAATCTGTTGTAAATAAACAGAACAAGACATCTATTTTTAAAGTTATGCATCATTTGAAATCATGCACAGTAAGAATGAAAGACTAATAGAGTAAAGAGTCACTCACGTATGGCACCTGTTGGTGACTTGCCTCTGACGACCCAAGAGCCTGCTCAACATAACTGAAGGTGAAGCAAAACATATATATAAAACCACTCTTCTTTTTTTTTTCCCCACACACACACACATACATACATGGACACACACATACTGTACATACATACATCTAGTGATTAAAACCTTCAAGGAGATACACTCAAGACAAAATGAGTAAAGAATACAAAGTAGCTGTGAAGCTCACAGACAATAACATAAACAAGCAACATCAAAACTGGATTAGAATAGTTACACTTATGTACAAGAGCAACATTACAAGTAATACAGTACATAGCTGGGATTAGTACCAGAGTACTAATGATGAGTATAGTTACTGGTAAATATGGCTTTATGATAAAGTACATCATATATTTTATATAAAGCACCTTATCATACAGCTACATACATTTGAAAGTCTTTCTATAAAAATTTAAGCATAGTACTGTACCATCAAGATAAGCACAGTGCCACACAATTAGCATGGTAATACACTTAAATACAATAGCTAATACTCTACTTTAATGCAATACCATACATTGAAATACATTACCACTGTATTTGGTACAACAGCATACAATTGACTACAGTCGTGCAGATCATAGTCGCCTGACATTTTGAACTTGAGTGTATCTCTTGAATATATCCCAGCTACCTTGTTGTTGCAAATGGGAAGTAATTTCGGTAATTGCTCTGTCACAAGAGGGATAATCATGAGTCACTACACAGGGGTTAAGATACAACTGTAGGTGCAGACATTAGTCACTGTTAAAAAACACTTCATGTTATAGGAATAATTTCTTAGGGAAAGCTAATCAATTAATTTATAACTGCTTACACTGACCAAAAAATTCAGCTGAAATTAAATCAACTTTCAAATTAAATTAATATCAAGATACAGAATACTTTACAAGGTAGCAGTATGCTCAGATTGCACTAAAGCACAATATAGTACAGTACTTGTATAATGAGCTCTATAAATATTGTAATTTGTACATGATTATTACTAATTAGATATTTCAGTTTAAAAAATACACTAAATAGTGTAAGCTGATGTAGGGTGAATGATGTAAATAAACTATATGTCAAAAATTGCACTGTAGTCACTATACAGGCTACACACACACACACAGCTTATAGCACAGCTATAGACAAATATTCTGATGACAATTTTATGTCACTGCCCATAGTTACAGGTATTTCACACTGCCACACAGAATGTTTGATGCTGTGCACATTTTTATACATACAGTATACAGTATAGTATAAAAATGATGAAACAGACTGAAAAGATGGAACATGTCCTTAATAAATGAACTACTAGAACAATAATCAACACTGGATTATGAAAAATATACATAAGTGTATACATAAGCATAGCAAATGGCCAGGTCCACATATTCTTCAATTTAGGAGTAAAGGGTATTCTCTTACACTGAACTGAAGTCAATAACAGTAGAGTCTCAAATTACACGGAGGTTATGTTCCTGAAAATGACATGTTATGTGAAATTATGTTGAGCAAACTGAAAAAGACAGGGATGGGGGATACCTGGATACCTGGAAAGGGTGTCAGAGGTCAACACCCCCACGGTCTCAAATTTTTTTTTTAAGTCTTGTAACTTCCTCAAAAATAATGTAATTATAGTTCAGTATAGTACATAATTAAAATACAGTACAGGTAACTATAAAGGTTACATAAATTAATTTTTCCTTAACTTAAATTTTGGTTGCTGATGTATGTTGATGATACTGAAAGGCATGGAGAAGGTAGGTATGGCACTTAGCCGAGGTGAATGACTGGATTCTTGGGCTGATGTCAATGTAGAGTTATAAGATGATAGCTGTACCAGAGTGCTCAGGTATTCTGTAATATATCTGATCTGTTTTACCTTGCAGCATTTATACAGGTGACAATACAGCATAATGCTTGCTCTTGAGCCTACTGCATCCACAATGTTAAATTTATGCCAGAACTCTGGCACTCCAGTGTCTGCATTGCCATCTACTGCTGGTGGTAGAGGAGTTTCTGCATCACCTTTCATGTGTAATGGCACTTTAATGCCTTAACAACTCCTTGATCCAATAGTTATATCAAAGATGCCATATTTAGTAGTAAAACACAACCCTCACATTTGGATCTATAGATTCCAAGAGTTGAAGATGGCCATGGGCATTATCAAGAATAAGCAGAACCATGAATGAAAGGTTCTTTCTGTGTAAGTACATCTAAACTGAAGGAATAAAATCATTCTTGAACCCATTAATAAACAGGCCCTCAATCATCCATGTGATAAATAAAAAACTCAAGTCTGCACAAAATATGGTCTGTGCCCCACAAGGATTTTACTGTAGTGCATATAAACTAAAAAGTTCTGTTTTTCCATCAAGAGGCAACATCTGTGGAAATCTGACATGTACCTCTGCCAGGTGTTGGATCAACCAGGCTGTGATGAATATGTGGGGGGCCAGCAGCAACAACCTGGTTGACCAAGCAAGCACTAGGGCCTGGTTCAGGGCCAGGCTGCAAAAGCAAGCAAATTCTTGAAACCTGTCATAGGTACTATATACCAAGGATAAAGCAGCAGACAGATATAGCTAATGGGTCCCAAATTATCGAGGCCTTTGCAAATCTCTCTATGGAGTTTCTTGCACAATCTCTCGATTGTGCAACATCCTTTCTGCTGGATTATCCTGGATGAGGTATAGCATGTCTGACATCATCATCATCATCATTGCACCCAACTCACTCCAGATCTTCTGGCTCAGAGACAATCTAAATGCCACTAAGCCTTCCATACAGTTTACCTCAGAAAAGGATGACAGCAACCCTCTTCCTTGCCTCAACACTTATGTGCAAATGCACCACAATTAAATGGACCAAGTACATAAAATCTGAAAATAATGAATAATTTTGGACTTAACAGACTTTGTCTGTTAAATCTCCAATTGACCATAAAAATAACAAAGTTTGTTAAATCTGACATGAATTTACCCAAAGGACTGTAAGAATAACAGACAATTTTGGATTTAACAGACTGTTACTTCAGAGTGTTGTCCGATCACAGATTTTGTCCATTAAATGCAAAATCCATTAAATCAGGATCTGTCATTATGAGGTCTCACTGTACAGCAAAATCATTATTCAGGTTGTTACTAGATTCATCATTCATTCAAAGAAATGGGAACTTTAGCTGCAATTAAAGGTTTTGTCAGTATATAACTGGGGCAAGACTAACACTGGTTATTTGCAAAACATGGAGAGAGTAGAACACCATCAACACATGACATAGTCAAATAAAAATGGACAAGAGTAATCTGCACAGTGAAGAAGAAAAAAAGCCAGTAACTAACCTTAATCAGGACCTCTACTTTCTTGGTTCAACAGCATTCTTATACTTAGTGCAAAATACCTGGCACGGGTTCTTTTTATGGCTGCAGCATAGGTCCTAACAACTCCTATGTCAATGGCATGCACACACTCTTAACTGTAGCATATGCTTCATAATTTCTAGCTAATCACATGAATTAGACACCAACTGACACTCACCTTTACCAAGTGTTGTATGCCTGCTGAAACTTACCCTGATCATGGTTGCAAAATGTCTGTTGACATTCATTCTTCTGATCATGGCTGTTAAATGTCTGTTGACACTCACCCTGTTCGTGGTGTGGCTCATGTTGTCGTTGTCGACGCCTATATTGATGAAGATTCTTCACCCTCCTCCATCACACAGCCTGCAACAAACAACATAAGTAACTGCCAATCATAAAACAAGATACAATTTAGTCTTTTAATATATGAATGGAATATGAAACGGTGCATATCTTATCAATTCAATGTTTAGCCAGAAGTAACTACAAAAAAACTGCAGTATTTTGAAAACAGCTAAATAAGATAAACAACTTCTCTAATATCCAGTCTAAAAGACAGAAATTTTGAAAATGCCAAAAAATGGATATGGAGTGACTAACAACACTATCTTAAACAAGTTTTATTAGAGCACTGTGAGAAATTCTGAGAGAATGAGCAACAGCTTCCTCCCCCTTTAATTTACACCATCACCTCATGTGCGTCTAGCACATTCAACCTGGCTTAGACATGAATTAGCTCAAATACGATGCAGTAAGTAGTTAAGGACTTCAGAAGCAAGGAAGAATCTTATATATAAGCTGTTACCTGTGAGGGAACATATTATGTTAGTTGTTAGGATGTAATCTTATTTTATTGACTGACATGAAGCCAGCAACAAAGTAACATTAGCTGGTCTTAGTCTAACCATAACCATTTTATGAAATTACTGAAGGGGCTTGCATCAGTCAGGAACATTGAAGAAAACAAGGAATGTCTTATTGTCTGTAACTCTGGACTCTTCAAAATAGCCATTTCCCATGATTTACTAGCTACGTAATCCTGAGAGCTAGATAGTAACCCATCTAAGAGCAACAATCAATGAAGATAACGCAGAGTGGTGGGTGGGAGACTAGTATCACAGCTCAGATGCAACATCCACACCCTTCCTTCAGTGCAGTCATAATACTATCCACCTCCAGGACCAGCTAACCAGTTTCTCTGAATACCTTCATAAATGTTACTTTGTTCACACTCATACAGCATGTCAAATCATAAAAACTACTTGCCTTCACTCTCTCCCAACATATTCACCATACAAGCCTGTTGGATGTCCAATCCCCTAGTACTCAAAACTATCCTTAGTAACCCTTCTCTTCAACCCTTCCTGAGATGACCTCTACCTCACTTTCCCTCATACCCAGATTTATATGCCCATCTAGTCATCCCATTTTGCCCCATTTTCTCTAAATGTTCAAACCACTTCAACAACCCCTCCTTTGCCCACCATTAAAAAGTCATTGGGTAATCCCTAAGGTTAAGTTTAAATACTGGTACTGTACTGTACCAAATATATTTTTGTGCAGCATTCTGGTCATCCTTAAATTAACTATGCATATTTTTCCCCCAAATCATTAAGGTATATTCTAGTGCCTAGTAAATTTTTATGGAATATTCTGTAATTAATAATGAATATTTAATTAAATCCAGTTTGGAGTAATGAAGAATGGCTATCATGTAATATAACTAACAGATGATTTGTGTCATTAATAGGAGCACAGAGTTGTTAGGGCAGATGACATCATGTATAGAAGCTGCTACTCTGTGGGAGGCTTTCTTCATACAGTACTATCACTGACTGCTCAGTGTGGTCCTCATCTGGTAAATCATTAATTGTTTAACATGATGGTAGGATTGCTGGTATCCTTTTTTCTGTCATAAACATGCAAGATTTCAAGTATGTCTTGCTACTTCTACTTACACTTAGGTCACACTACACATGCATGTACAAGCATATATATAGTATATATGTTGGTAGAATTACCAACAATATGTAAAGTAAAAGGACACAAGTGCAACTAATGTGATATTTTATTATGGCAACATTTCACTCTCCAGGAGCTTTATCAAGCCGTTACAAACAGTGCATGGACACAGAGGGTATATATAGACTCAGAGTGAGGTGCAATACTAGTGGTGGTAGTAGTAGTAGTAGTAGTGACATGAGTTGTAGTAGTAGTAATACAATATGGTAGAACAATTAACTTGCACATGAGTATTATTATTATTATTATAATCATGGGGGAGCGCTAAACCCATAGGATTATACAGCACATGTGGAGGAGGATGGAAGGCATTTAGGCTCAATTCAGGGAACTGGAGCACAGATCCAATTCCCTAGATCAAGAGCCCCTCACCAGCTTCAATGAACCTCCCTTGAGGGGTGCACATGAGTAAAAGGATATAAAAGCTATTACTTGGGTAACATAAAAATAGGTTAGACAAATATTTCTATTGGAACTGGATTAGAGAAGGCCTGTTTCAATGTGCTTGTGTAGTATCAGCAGGAGAGACTATGTGATGGCAGAGTTTACTGTTTTCAGGAGGATTCTTGCTAAGACTTCAGAGATGGTGAAGCTGCCTTTGTTTTGTTTAACTGGATCAGAAACAGCGATTAGTGCTGAGTCAAGGCACTTGCATCTGCGGAAATTAGTTTCTTTGATCACTAATCAGGCGTCCCTGAACTTCATGAGGTGATTGGTGGAATTTCGGTGATGTACGCAGGCGTTGTTCATGTATCGTTCCTACATGAATAAATGTGTTCACTGAGGCAGGTTTTGAGGTTTCTTGCTGTTTCACCTACATAAATCCTGTCGCAGCCTCCACAGGGTATAGTGTAAACCCCTGCATTGACTGGTTCATGGTGCTTGGATTTAGTCCTGGTTAGGTCCTTTATTGAAGTGCTGGAAGCGATGGCAACTTTAGTGTTAACTTGTGCAAGTACAGTGGACCCTCGACTTACGATATTAATTCGTTCCAGAAGGCTGCTCGGGTGCCGTTACCGAATGCATTTGCTCCCTTAAGGAATATTGTAAATTAGATTAGTCTGTATCAGACCCGCAAAAATACACTTACAAAAGCACTTACAAAAATACACTTACATAATTGTTCGAGTTGGGAGCTAATCGTAAGTCGGAGGTCCACTGTACTTTAGAAACGTTCAAAGCAACCTCCAGTTTTCCAAAATGGAGTAGTTGGAATTTGTCCTCATTGAACATCATATTGTTTTCCATTGCCCATTGGAAAACTTGGTTTATATCTTCTTGGAGGTTAACCGTGTCCTCAACAGATGACAGTCTCGACCAGATCCTAGTATCGTCTGCAAAGAATGACATGGTGCTGTGGATTACATCTCTGTCTATGTCTGATATGAGGATGAGGAACAGGATGGGGGCAAGTACCGTGCCTTGTAGAACAGAGCTTTTCACTATGGCAGCTTCCGATTTAACTCTGCTGACCACTACTCTGTGTTTGATTGGTTAGAAAGTTGAAGATCCATCTCCCCACTTTGCCAGTTATTCCTTTAGAACGTATCTAGTGTGCTATTGCGCCATGATCGCACTTGTCAAAGTTTTTGCAAAGTCTGTGTATATTACATCTGCAATCTATTTTTCTTCCAGTGCATCCAAGACCATATCACAGTGATCCAGTAGTTGCAAGAGGCAGGTGCGACCTGCTCTGAACCCATGTTGCCCTGGATTGTGCAGTTCTTGGGAATCTAAGTTGTTTGTAGTCATGCTTCTTAGCACTCTTTCAAAGATTTTTATGATGTGGAACATTAGAGCTGTTGGTCTGTAGTTCTTTGCTAATGCTTTGCTGCCACCTTTATGGAGTGAGGCTATATCCGTCGTTTTAAGCAACTGGAATTTCACCCATGTCTAAGCTCCTTCTCCATAGTATATTTAGGGCATGTGAAAGGGGTTTCTTGCAGTTCTTAATGAACACAGAGTTCCACGAGTCTGGGCCCAGGGCTGAGTGCATGGGCATGTTGTCAATGGCTTATTCAAAGTCTATTGGAATTAGGGTAATGTCAGAAATCTGGCATACACTGATGGGGTTTTGAGGCTCATTCACGAAGAAATCATTTGGATTGTCGATCTTCAGACTGATTAGTGGCTCACTAAATACAGTCATACTGAGATTTCAGTATCTCACTTATTTCCTTGTTGTCATCTGTGCAAGTCCCATCTTGTCTGAGCAAGATGTGGCATCTGCCTTGTTTTTGGCATATGAAAAGAAATGTTTCGAATTTCTTTCAATTTCACTAATCGCTTTAAGCTCCTCCTGCCTTGAACATACTTCAGCTGCCAGGAAGTTGATCCTTTCAAGACACTGGTTTGTATCCATGTTATTTGAAGATATCTTCCCAACATGCTTCATTTAAGACATGGTTTACCTGGTCCCAGTTGATATTCTTGTTGTTGAAGTTATATTTGGTGAAGACAACTTTTGTATTTTGCTGATCAGGACCCCTGTGCATGTAAATCTGAACTTCAATTAGAATGTGATCGGAATTAGTTGTTTTTGATATTGTTACGTCTCTTACCAGGTCCTCATTATTTGTGAAGATAAAGTCAAGTGTGTTTTCTAGTCTTGTTGGCTGCACTATCTTCTGACTTAGGGTGTATTTATTGCAGAGATTTGGTAGCTCACATGTGTGTGACCATTCATCTGTGCTACCTCCAGGGATTGTTTCTGCTATAGCATTATTCACTACATTCTTCCATTTTGTATGCCTTAGATTGAAATCACCAAGCAGTAAGATGTTTGGGGATGGAGGTGGAAGGCTTTCCAGACAGTAATCAATTTTCAGTAGCTGTTCCTTGAACTGTTGGGAGGTTGCATCTGTTGGCTTATATACAACCATGATGACTAGGTGTTAGTTCTCAATCTTTATTGTTAGACCTTCAACTACATCATTTGTTGTGTTCATCTCCGTTCAGGTGCTTTTTGTTGCTAGTTCTTGTTGTTGTTTATTTCCTCTTATCTCCACAGGGAAGTAAACCAGAATTCTTCCTCCATAAGCCATGGTGTTGTAAAAGGCGACTAAAATGCCAGGAGCAAAGGGCTAATGACCCCTTCTCCTATATATGTACATTACTAAATTTACAAAGAGAAACTTTTTTCTTTTTGGGCCACCCTGCCTCGGTGAGATACAGCCAGTTTGTTGAAAGAATATAGATAGAGCAAAGAATAACATAATTAATTGGCATACTCTAGATTACAAAGTTACAAAAGCTGAGTAATAAGTTATAAAATCTCACATTAAGAGGCTTCATTATGATAAAAACTGTTTAAAAATTAAATCTGCAGGTCCAAAGCTTAT